TGGCCCAGCGTGAACTTAAAGGTGGTGGATCTGGCATGGCGCCGGCAGCTGTTGAACTCATCGTGTCTGTGGTTTGCACATCTGCTAGTGGCACACTGAATGCTCTGTGCTCTGATGAAGTGGGAGATCTCAGCCCAGAAGGGCGACGAGTCAGCTGTGCGTGTTGTAGACGCAGATCAGTTCCTCCATGAGCGGCTTTGCACCCACAGATACCTGCCCTCAGCCTAGCAGTTGTGAGTTAGAAGTTCGATGGCTGTTCGGCAAAGCCAAACTATTTAAGGTGTATGCATAAATATTACTCTTTTTCCACATAGGTAAATTCCTTTCTCCCCGCTTTTTGTTCTAAATGAGGAAACCTTGTCCTGTTTTGCACAGGTTTTCTGCTTGTTTCATAACTCCTTATTCTCATCCGTGCATACTTCGGCACAAGTAAACTTTGCTTTTCCATTCTTCTAACCCATTCTTTTTTTTTTTTCCTTTCTCAGAGTTAGTTTGTTACGGGAGAACTGCAGCTGAACAATGGTTTTGAAAATGTCAAATGAAATGTATCCAGCGTTTAACTGAGTTGAGCTGAAATGTGGCTTCTTGAAAGAAGTTTGCAGAAGGTTTGAAAAATCTGTTGATCTGAGCAGAAGGGGCTCAGAGCTGTCACGCTGTAAGCTGACTGCTGGGATCACCTTCAAGTTGACATTCATCAGCATTTGCAGAGCTGGCTGAACCCCACTCCTTTTAAAGATTTAAGGGCTGTAATCCTTTGGCTAGATCAGAGGGTAAGGCAGATATAAGAGGTAGATTTCCAAAGTAGTGTTTGGGGGAATTTACTGCATCAGAGTTCTGTTGGGGGATTGAGCGCTTGCTGAAAAGCCACTGCAGCTTATGTTGCACAAAGCACTTCCAGGAGACTTCTGTCCTTCCTAGTGAAAACTTTCCATTTGAGAAGTGAAAAAGTGTTTTGTTTTCTCCCTTAAGCCCTTTGTTGACACACCTTCTGGAGAAGGGGCTTGCTGAAAAATCAGGCAGGTGTTGCCTGATGGTGGCTGGCGTGCGCATTGTGATACTGAATTACCAGCCAGGGTGCCAAGAGTGGGTAATACAGTATGTCTGCACAGGCAGGTGGGGAGGGCAGGGCTGCGGGCGCTGGAATGTTTTCTTCTTTCCGTTTAAAACATATTATTAAGCAAAAAGCTAAATTCACTGTTGTCTTTAGCAGTCTCTTGAAGTCTGCTTATTTGGGCATGACATGCAGCAAATGAACCCCAAAGAAAAATCTGAGCCAAGCCTTTCCCCTCTCTCCTTAGTAGATAACGTGTTGCCAGGCTTCCTTCTTTTGTTTCAAATAACTTTTTGCTGTGTGTCTGGTAAAAGCCATGTTCCCACTCCTCAGGCTGTTGGCACAGCTTTTATTCCTCATGCTAGGAAATGACTGTCACTGAATGACAGGCTTGTTGATAGAGATCAGGTTCATTTTTAGTACTTTTTTTCTTCCTAATTAGGTTAATTTCCAGACTCGGGCAAGTAACAGAAGTGTATTAGTTAATAGTGATGCTTTAGACTTGTTAAATACTTGAAATGGAGGCAGTTAAGAGGTACTTTGAGAAATTCATTTATTGGCTATTTTCAGTCTGGGCTAGTGCTAGATGTTGGCTCTGTTTTTCCAAAAACAATCTTGTCCTTCCTTCCCAGGTAGTGGCATAAGGGTACTAAATCTGTCTTGGGTCTCCATGATGGGAGTGACTGATCTCCTGACCTCATCCCTCATGCAGTGAGCACCGGTCACCTCCTGTAGCAAAATGGTGGGCAGGGTGCCTGTCACCTCCTGCAAGGTGGGGTGATTTGGGGACCATTGAGGAGAATGCATTCAGGCATTCTCTGAATGCACAGAAGACAGCTCCTGCATCAAGGGTTTTCTCATACATATTTGCTTTGAAATCTATATACAATATCCTGTCTTACTCTGTGGATATAGTGATTATCGCTGATCCAATATGAAGCTGCTGTGACCTAGTTGTTCCCATCTATTTATGCCATTAGATGACTGGGCATCAGTTTACCTATGGTCACAGTGAAGTTGGCAGGATGGGAAGCTCAAGTCCTTTACTGTCTGACAGCAGATACCCCACGGACAGATTTACACCAGTGTTAAATGACTGGCCTCTTGACAACTACAGGCTTGTGGGCCACTGTGCTGGGGTGGATGTGAAATCCCTGCCAAGCTGTGGTGTGCTGTGGCCCTGAGCTCTTTGCAACAGTCGGGAAGCTCGGATTCTTGCAGGCAGTGACAGAAGGGTGCCGCAGCCATTCTGTCTTGACTGTCTTTCTGCATGGGTTGCTGCTGCTTGCCTCCCGAAGTGGAGATGAGCATCACAACCTTTGGGCTTCTGGTCTCCCTATTGCTCTGATATGCAAAGTTAACATTGGTGGTGTTCAGGGCCTGGAGCTCCTGGGTCTAAAGGCTGACAGAACCTAAGTTTTGGGAAGATACATCTTTATTGGAGAGATCTTTTCATTGTAACTCATTAGCTCTTGGCTGCTGTTTCTGTAGATGTAAGCTGCAGGTCCTGTTCTTCCCTTCTGATTGTAGCTGAAGGGCTCAGGCAGTTGAGCTGCTGAAGGGCGGATGGGAGAGATCACCTCCTTTGTTGGTAGAGGGGTCCATGCTGTCTGATGTGGAGCCTCTGTGTTTGTGCTGGGGTTGGACACCCAGCTCTCCTGTCCTTCTAGAAGTAGTGCCTTTCTGCTTCTTTGCAACCCCAGTGAAAATATTAGATGTAAAATTACAATCAGCACCACCAGGAGAGTGCATCTCCTTCCATTTGTTCAGTTCTCTGAATACTTGCAGACGCCAGACACGCATACTCCTGGTGTGTGCCGCTGTATTTATGCTTTCATTTTGGCCCTCTGCTTTTGTGTGTATGGCTTCTTCATGCTTCCTTGTTATGAGGACATCCAAGCAATGAGGTGGCTTTTCCAGGCTTTCTCTGTATGCTTTCTAAATTTCGTCCTCTTTCAAGAAAGAATCTTTTCCAACTTCTGAGATGAAAAGACAACACAGTGAGCTCACTCTTACCTTTAGTAAAGAATTGCTGTTAAATTAAAAAAACAATAAGGAATTTCAGGTTTTAAAAGGTGTCTGATATAAATCACCATCTAGATCTGTTTCACAACTTTTTTTTTGTAATTGTTTGGCATGTTCCCCATTTCCGCGGGCTGAGTAAATCCTTTGTGGGTTTAATCTCTAGCCTGCAGGCACATAAAATGCATTGCACAATTTGGCCTTTGCATTTCAGAGAATCTTCTTCCTTGACTTAAATACCTGTAGCATCTCCCTGCCGTATGGCAGGGTGGTGTTGAGTGAGGAGGGAAGAGATCACTTTGTCTTAATTTTAATCCCCCCTCTCCTCCTCATTGTTTCCCCAGCTTTGGTTTTCCTGTTAGCAGCGCAAGCACTTTGAAATGCAAATAATCTCTGGATATCACTAGCTAATTCTCCTGTTGCCACGTCACCCACCACCCACCCGTTCGTGTGCCAGCTCTTCCCATCCTTGCGGGGTGGATGGCCAACTTGTGCTCCCGACCTGTATGAACCTGTTGGTGCCATGTTTGAACAGTTGGGACTTGGGCTGTATCGGCTATGGCTGCTAGAGACATTTTTTTAAAGAAAACAGCCACCTTGGAGCTTCTCTTTCCCTGCTAGAAGCAAAGAGATGGAAGTGGGGAAATGCCAGCAATTCCTGTGGGTTACGTGGTTAGAGTTATTGAAGAGCTTGGCATTCACAGATGTCTGAACAGCAAGAGAAAACTGAATGGCTCTGAAGTTGGGTATCAGTGCAAACTGCATTGCTGTGGAACAGCAGAGAAGGGTGGAGCGTCTCCTGCACAGGGGACATCTAGAAAAATGGGTTAGGGTGGCAGTGTAGTGAACCATGTAAGAGTTTCCTTTTGACTGTTCCTGTTAAATGCGTATACTTAATTCAACTAGAGCCTCTAAACAGAAACCAGTGACTTCAGCCCATTTTGCTGAGTAAAGGTTTCCAGATGCGAGCGCAGTTTGGGGATGTGCTGTGCCAGCGCATTAGTGCAAGAGTGTCCTAAAAGGGAATCCAATATGCTGTGAACTAGCACAGTGAGTAGGAGTGTCTTAGCTCGGGGTGTTCATTACGTACCCCTAGGATGGTGACTGCCTCTGTTTTGGAACCAGCTCCTGAGCTGTGCTCCAGGTCCCAACGTGGACCGGGTCTTTTGGAATGTTTTCACTCCTCAGAGCTTTGAGGTCTGTGTACATCTTATTTCACCACTTGCTCTCTGCCTTGGTGAATGCGGCACTTAAGTTTAAAAGTGAGGAGTCTGATGTAGGTTATTCAGCATAGGTATGAGATACTTTCAAAAGATAACTGACAAGTCAGATTTAGCACAACTCTCAGGTTGGTCAGAGTCTTGCTTTTAAATACTGTTCAGTTCCAGGCTTCATGGTTTTTACTCCATTTTCAAAACCAGGAGGGCTTCTAACAAAACAGGATGAATCCCTGTTGATTCCAGTGCTTCCGGGATTACAGGGTATTGTAAAATGAATGCTTTCCATTTTGTGGGTAATATAAGCACACTGCCTTTCTGTCCCCCCCTCTTTTAAGGGGTGTGTAAGAGAAATAAGGATTGTATTTGATCATGTAATAGCATAGATCTTTTTGAACATTCTTGTCTTTGGGAAAACTAGGTGTTAGTCTTATGTTCCACTTTTCTAAAACAAGTTTAGTGTTTGTTTTGTCACTTGTTTGGAAGTGTGGCAGGGAGATTCAAGCTTGATGATCCTTGAGGTCCCTTCCAACTCAAGCCATTCTATGATCCAATGAGATTCTATGATTCTCTGAACAAATACTGTGCATGTGCAGTAGCTAACACATTCAGCATGTGTATAAATCCATCTCCATTCTTCTGGTATACCTCCACCTCTCTAACTGACCATCCTGACTCTCTTGCTCTTTTTATCTTTTTCCCTCATTCAGTATTCCACTGAACTGAAGAAGCTGTACTGCCAGATTGCCAAGACATGCCCCATTCAGATCAAGGTGATGACCCCACCACCCCAGGGAGCTGTCATCCGGGCGATGCCAGTCTACAAGAAAGCAGAGCACGTCACCGAAGTGGTCAAACGCTGCCCGAACCACGAGCTGAGCCGGGAGTTCAACGAGGGTAAGAGGGCAGTGCTTTTCCTTCTAGTCCCTTTCCAAAGCTGCTTGGCTGATGAGTGGTAGTGCAGGGGTTTTGCAGCAATTTTAATGCAAGCCTTTGGAAACAGACCTCTTTGCAATGGTTCATACAGCTTTTTGTTCCCTGTGCTTAGCAGGAAGCGTAGTCGTGTGCTTTAGTTATTCCTAAAGCAAGTGTGCAAGTGTGTCCTTGAGAAGAAAGTACAAAAATAAACCCTGTGCCTGCCCAGGTTGGATGGATGTCTGTCCCCGTGGCAGGCAGTGCCTTTCTGGCAGCCTTTCCCCACTCTGCTTGTGCTCCCTCGATGAGAAGCAGCTGTTTTTGTGCTCAGGAATGAGCTTCCATGTCGCTGGTGCAGGGATCTAGTAACAGGATGCAATATCATCTCCAGTCCTTAATCCACGTCTCAAAGACAGAGGGGCTGTTTATCTCTGGCAGGATAACACTAAGTGCCAGCATCAACTGCAGGCAGCCTTCCTGTATGCTTAATGTTATCAGTTCACTCATATGAGAAGAATCAAGATTAAAACACGATTACTGTGAAGTAGTAGCTGTTATAAAAATGTCACGGGGCTTTCTGCAAACTCATGAGCTAGACTCCGTTTTTCTGTGTCTGCTTAAGTTCACGTAAGTTCAGATGAGCATCTGTTTTAGTCTACGTGCATTATTCACCTCCTACTGTAAAAAAAAAAAAAGTGGTGTCAGTTAACGGGATGTTTCAGGAGCCTGGATCCCTTGGCTGGGTACGGTGTGGTCAGCTAGACAAGCATAAAAACAAGCAGGGACTTGGGATATGAAAGTCAGCGTGAAGTGGGACAGTTCTTTGAAATAGGCTCTTGTGTGAAAATGCTTTTGACAGAATTTAATATTATTTTGAGAGTTTATACTTGGTTCAGTGACATACCTTTAAGGAGAAATGTGATTTAAATGCTGAATTTGTATTTTGAAATTATTTTTCTCAAAATACACTGTATTTTGAGTAAGAAATTAACAGTTCAAACACAAAATGAATTGGGAGGCAAAATGAATTGGGAGGGACTTTTCATAAAGGCATGCAGCAACAGGACAAGGGGTAATGGTTTTAAACTGGAAGAAGGTAGATTTAGGCCAGATATCAGCAAGAAATTCTTTACTGTGAAGGTGGTGAGACACTGGAACAGGCTGCCCAGTGAGGTTGTGAATGCCTCTTCCCTGGAAGTATTCAAGACCAGGCTGGACGGGGCTTTGAGCAACCTGATCTAGAGGGAGATATCCCTGCCTATAGCAGGGGGGTTGAAACTAGATGGTATTAAGGGTCCCTTCCAATGCAAACCATTATGTGATTCTATGTGTTCTTTAGATGAACCTGAAACACGCTTCTTTCTTCAGAACTTAACTAGGTTGTTAAACACTGAAGAGCACTTGCAGGAAGGAGGGGGAACTTTTTTTTATATATTGGAAAGGTGCCTAGAAACGTCATGTTCCCTGTGTCTGTTACCTAAGGAAACATTGGATTTTTGTTGTGTTTTCTTTTGTTTGGTTGTTTTGTTTTTTTTTTTTGTCTGGCAGATGAGAGTTTGGAAAGAGATGTTTAAAATCTGGGGAGGCATGTGTGTGCTGTGATAGACCTCTGGGACGAAGTGTGTGGGTTTCCTATTGGTTGGATTGTCTTGCTGCCCTGCACTTCAGCTTGTGTCAATAATGTTTTTGTCTCCTTGCCCTTGCAGGGCAGATCGCACCTCCTAGCCACCTGATCAGAGTGGAAGGAAACAGCCATGCTCAGTACGTGGAAGACCCCATCACTGGGAGACAGAGTGTGCTGGTCCCATATGAGCCACCTCAGGTATGTTGTGAGCTCAGGGCTGGGGCATCCTGACATGCAAAAGGGTTGGAGTTCAAACTGTAGCCAAAGGAGCCAAGATCTTGTACATGCCCTGTCCTTATTACTGTTAATCCCTAAAACAGGGTTTTAGACACATTCTTCATCCCTTGAGAGTATGAGTTCTTTATTTTTTTAATTTAAGGAAGCCTTATGGTGGGGGAGACTTGATGATAGCCTAGTTATTGTACAGCTGTGGGAGTGGGAGGGATTTTCAGAGGGACAGCTAAAAAAAGCAGAGCTTACCACTCACCATCTCTTCTGCTCGTCCTCTCCATCTCATCCAGGTTGGTACTGAGTTCACAACAGTCTTGTACAACTTCATGTGTAACAGTAGCTGTGTAGGAGGGATGAACCGTCGCCCAATTCTCATCATTGTCACACTGGAAACCAGAGAGTAAGTGGTGCATCACAAGTGTAGCTTGTGAGATGGCCTTCTGGCTCTTCTTTTGCTCAGGGCAGCGTTGCAAGGTTCTTAGGGACGTATTTGATTTTAGGGGCCAAGGAACATTTTTAAATATTGAGAAGTGGGAGTTGCTCAATAACTGGATATTGACTGGCACTTGGGAGGTTTGGGTTGGTCTATGCATAGCCTAGTGCAAACCATTCAGGCTCTGCACTTACCATGCTCTTAGTGAAATAGATAAAGGTGTTTTTGATGCAGATAAAAAGTTTCAATACATGGAAGAAGTCTCACCAGTATGTCTATCTCACTTATTCCTCCTCTGAATAGCTGGATGCTTTGCTCTGTGTCCACTGAGCAGAGTGCTTTCATGCCCTCTCTCTAATACAGCAAGTTTCTCTGAAACTGCCAGGGAAAGTGGAGGCCAATGGTTAAACTTAGCAAAAACAAAGCATCTGGCTGCTATTCTAGCTGATCACGTTTTATTTAAGTCATATTGAAAGTGGAATTTGATGATCTTAAATCTTTTCCAACCTAAATGATTCTGTGATTCCTTCAAATCTGACTGAGATGTCATCCCTTTTGCATAGGTTCCATTTAGGAAGATCAAGTACACTTGGATCAGATCTGCACTTGGATCAGTGCAGATAGTTAATCTGAATCTGGTCACTTCTGAAACTTGTGCTGAATCTGTGTATTATTTACTAAACATGTCTAAGATGAGCTACCAGGAGATGGAACTCGTGAATACTGGCCTAGAGGGAGTAAAGTAGGAGTAGATGCTAGCTTCTGATTTTGGCCTCCTGTAAGCTTGAAGGTGTGAGGGATGCTGATGGTGACTATCTGAGCTGCTGGCTGATGTCCTCTTTCACTTTTCTTCCCAGTGGGCAAGTCTTGGGCCGCCGATGTTTTGAAGCTCGCATTTGTGCTTGCCCAGGCAGAGATCGCAAAGCAGATGAGGACAGCATCCGCAAGCAGCAAGTCTCTGACAGCACAAAGAATGGTGATGGTACGAAACGCCGTAAGTAGCTGGCAGAGCTGGGCAGATTGCAGATCACGCTGTCAGCAGGTGCAACCTTGGCACTTGTGCTTTGGGGATGGAGCAGACCTGTGCATGGGCTTTGGAAGCAGGAGGGCATTAGATGTCTGTTTTCACTGGGTGAATCAATCTGCAAAATGAGCTGGTTGTCAAACATTTTGTTAACATCTGTAGTAGTGTTACAAGCACTGTTTGTTCTGACTGGAGGGGGGTGACTCTATCTTGACGCCTTTAGGGTACCTGGATGGGACTGTAACCACTTCCACACTGTAACCACCTTGTTTGGGACTGTGCTGTTGTTCCTTGATCCTTCTAGCAATTGTCTTCCATGAACAGGAATCTAGATAAAGACTTTACACAAACTGTGCTGTGTGTCTGAGGTTCTAAGGCAAGTAGCTTCTTTCTGTGCTTCATGGAGTACAGCACACTCATCAGAAGTGCAAAAGATGGAAACTCAGTCTTGGTTTCCCATATGTGCTCAGTGATACACTGGGTTGTATAGCAAAGAGGCAAATTTTAATGAGAGACAAATTGGAGATTTTCATTTCCACAGTGGGTTCTGTATGCTCACTGTGGATTACTGATCCACCAATGGCTCTTTGCAAGTTGTCTGCTTTACGAAGCCAGTAGTTATGCACACAGTTTTGGAGTGGTTCAGGCAGAGATCCTTTCAAAGCACTGCATGTTAACACCAGACTTATGCTTGATGTCTCTCTTTCTCTATCTCTTCTTTATTTCCTTCACTGTTTGTGTTTTGCTTTAGTTTAATGGGATGCTTTTTTGTTTTCTTCTAGCTTTTCGACAAGGAACTCATGGCATACAGATGACATCTATCAAGAAAAGACGTTCTCCAGATGATGAGCTCTTGTACTTGCCGGTGAGTTCTCTCTACCTTTGCTTTTACCCCGTGTTTCATATCCTCCTTAGTGCACTGAGACAAGTCAACTGCTCACCTAGATGTCACAGAACTGTGTTCAATGGCTAGGGTTGGAATATGGATTCGATTTGATTTGGACCAGAACATTGCTTTTGGTTGGTATAGATTTATGTCAAGGTAGATGATGATCCCAAGATGTTCATTAGCCTGCAATGTCAGATTATCTCTTCAACATTTATCTGATGTACATCTAACACAAGGCTTAGCAGTTTTCCTGCTTACATGTTAAGTATAGGCAGTATTTGCATCCTGCTCTGGCTGTTTACTTGACTATACTTACAGCTCACTTCAGTGGCGGTCACTTTAGATGCAGTTACTTAAGCCTTTTCTTTTCATCCTCTTCCTATGATCTAGGTAAGGGGACGAGAAACGTATGAAATGCTACTGAAGATCAAGGAGTCCCTGGAACTTATGCAGTACCTTCCCCAGCACACAATTGAAACTTACCGTCAGCAGCAGCAACAGCAGCACCAGCACTTGCTCCAGAAGCAGTGAGTATGGATGTGCTTGCAGTGACCTTTGTAATGAGGATTGTGGGGAAGGGAGAGAGGAGAGAGACACAGAAAACTTCTGCACAGGTGTTTATAGGGACGTGATGCTTAATCAACAATATGAAACTGCTTGTTGATCTCCTACTCAGAGCTCATAGAAGTCAGTACCAGAAAGAAAAACTTTAATACCAGAACGTGAGAGAGTGAGTCTAGGATCCAGATTTTGCAATGGGACAAAGCAGTCCTTCTTTCTCAAATGCAGGTCCTGACTGCTTGCAGGTCCCTTTCTACTTGCTACATGTGTGTGACCAAGCCAAGGAACATAGGGTGGGCTGTCCTGTTTTCCCAGCTTTGTGGGAATGGCAATGAATGTGGAGACCTCCACCCCTTCTTGGGGGAATCCACTGAAACATTTTGCAAAGAGCATACAGAGCTGGGACTGTGAGCACCAGCCTGCCCATGTACTTGAATACTGCTGCTGCATTTATTTGATGTTGTTGAAGGGCTGTCTCTTGGTGGGATGCAGATATTGCAATCTCCTCAGCTGTAACACTGGAAGCTGAAAATTGGGACTGAGGGTTTGACAGTTAAGAATTGCTCTCTGACCAGTGGGTAGTTCAGAGGGAGGGTTTTTTGTTGTTACTTTTAAAGCAGTTTTAAACAAACAACAAAAAAAAGTACTTTGTGACTGGCTCTCCGTGTTGTGCATGAGAAACTTTCCATCTGGGCAGACACAGCCGCTGTCTGCTAGCAAGGCTCTACCAGGATTACTTCAAGTGGTGTAGTGGCAGGAAGACAGGGAGAAGAAGGGCCAGATAAGTGTCTGGTTTCAGTCTTCCTCTCCGCTCCTGTTGCTTTACAGTTACAGAGACTGGGTGAGAGAATGAGTTTGCAGACAGACCCCAAGTGGTGTCATTCACAGGCCTTGCTTCACCTGCTGTATCAGGTGGCAGCACGTAGCTGGCCAGGCTGTAGGTGGCCGCCAGCGGTAGTGCTTAGCATCTTGTGCGTTCCTCCTGGTAACCTCACGCGTCAGGAGGCTGTGGGCATATCTCATTCCCTTGCAGAGGTTAGCACAAGGCCAAGGCACCACATAAGTCCCGTTTGAGCCTGTAGGGATTTATTTCAGTGCCTTGGCCTTGTCTCGGGGCTTCTGCAATACCACGGCTTTATGCCAGATCTCTGCATATGTTCGCATTTCGACCTGTGTGTTTTTAGTGTCAGCTGGAGGTTTTGAAGAGATTTTATAGCCCGGTGCTGAAATGGCTGGAGCATCCAGGGGCTCTGGGCAATTTGAGATACTTTTTAATAAAAATAAAATTCAGTCATCTGAGCCGTTTGTGTATATTATAACTTGTGTTTACTAGCTGCTAGGCATTGTGGCCTTTGTGCACTCAGTTGCATCTCTTCAAAGCTCCACCTGAACTACAGCCATTTCAGTTGAGAAATGGTTGTGTAAGCAGAAATGGATGGCAGCAGATGACAGCTTTCATTTGGTGCTGACAGTTGCACGGCCATAATTACTGTTTTCATTCTTCTATCAATAGGATGGGTTCCTGGCAACTGAAGTTGGTATTTGTTACCTTTAAGACTAGCATGCGTGAGTCTCACCATTTAATTTAATGAAACTTCTTTTGGCATGTCTCCTGGCACTTGTCCAGTTAAATACTCATTTTTCTCAGCTGCTGAGTGTGCTGGGATATTGGGGAGACAGATTAACAGCTTTTAAGGATGCCGAGAACTTGGGGAGAATTATCTTTCAGTGTTTGTCCAGAGCTACTGAAGTTATCTCTGCTGACAGCTTGCCATGAAATAGGGTCCCCTGTACTGAAATGTACTTTCAAACATTAGGTGTGGTTGGGTTCTAACACTTTGGCCTCGATAATCTAGGCTATGTATTAATTTCTGAAGGAATGTGTTGAGGGCAAAGGGAAATCTGGGCTGGCAAGACTCATAGATATGATATACCTCCCCCCCCAAAAACCCCCACAGAATTCCAGATCGTGATGTAAGAATAAGAGAACGCACTTTGTAGGAGCTGGCTTGGGTAAGAGCGGTCTTGCATGTGAGTGGGTTCAGCTAACAACATGTTGTACATTTTCATTTTTTCTGAAGGTTAGGAAGAGCAAGAATGAGATTGTGGTAAAAAGTAATTCTTTTTAAAAAATCTGACTTTTGGATACACTGTACAATACAGACCAGCATTGCATTTCACGGGCCAGAAGTGCTGTCTTACAGTTCTGCAATAAAAAAAAAAGGACAAATCTGGTGACAGTCTGCTTCCTGTCCAACAAGATGATCAAAAATACTGCACTGTTCCATGCTGTGCCAGACCGTATCTTTCTCTGTCTCATCTCCTCTCTCTGTTTGCTCCTTTGTGCATGGTTTTCTCTTATTAATCTTATTTACTGTTATGCCAAATACCTTCATGATCATAGGTGGGAAGGCCTTTTTTTGTTTTGTTTTCTGAAGTTTCTGTTCTTCCTTTTTTCACTGCCAAATCCTGTGAGGAGCAGCACACACGTTTATGTAGAGGGCTTCCTTTTCATGGTTTGCCGCTGATGTTTAAAATCTTTCTGTCAAGGGTTGACCAGAACATTTTTGTTTCCAAAGACACCACACTTACAGGGAAAATTAGGTTTTTTTCAGTCTTCTCCTGCAAAATGCATTTACCACCAGTGGTTGCAAGGAATACTGGAAAACGCTTTTCCATATTCAGTGAGACTTTCTGTTGTGGCTTTCACCCTGCTGTTTTCAGGACAGTCTATTTGAATTGGTCAGAGCATGTTAGAAAGGAGTTTGCAAAGTCTACCAATGCCTACTGAGGAGATGACTTCTATATTCCAGCAAATGTTTCTTTCATATTAACAGGGCTGCAGCCACCAACCCAGTGGTAGTGTTTCATTCTAGCAAGCAGCCCAGCTCATTACCCAAATGAGAAGGGATTAACCTTGTAAGTGAGGTGTGACGGAGCAAAGCTATCCAGTGTCTGGTGTGCTCCAGCTGAGACAAGAACTGTTGCTCACCATGGTAGGGAGGAGGCTGATGGGAAAGGTTTTCTATTCTACATACCCCCACCTAGATATTCTCATTTTTGTGTGGAAGGTATAGTAGATTTCTGCATGGTTTGGTTTTGTAGTGTTGTGCTTGCATGTGTTGTGAGCTCCAGGCATTTGGTTTTCAACTAGAGCATTACCAAGGTGAAAGTAAGCAAGAAAATGTGTGGGATTAGGTACGTGAAGACATGCTGTGCTCACTTTGCTGGCACTGAGAGTTGGTGCGTTTGCATCAGGTGGCAGTCCCAGGGATCTCTCAGCTTCAATGCAGAGGGCCCTCTGTCTTCCAAAGGGGGAATGCCTGAGATAGAATCAGTACAGCCCATTCACGGTAGGCACCATCATCTCCCTAGCACCAGCTTCTCGTTTTTAAGTAACTGAAGTTTGAAATGAACTCTACGGAAGCTGCATCTCTCACGCATTTGGCTGAGTGCTTTTTTCTTCTCATGTTTCTTCAGCTCATTTGAGATCTGCTGGGAAGAGTATCGGGTACAGTTTGCACCCGTGTGACTGGGACACAGAAATCTGATTGCCATATCAAATAGTTGTTTTTTCTTGCCAAGCACTCACACCTGGGGCTTTCCAACTTCCTAAATTTGCCTGTTGCATACCCTCACTGCAGGTGCTAAGACATCAGTTTATCCTCTCTGTCGAGTCCGTACTGTGATCATGAAGGTGGAAAATGGCTGTTTCTCTCTTGCTGTCTGATGAAGGGCCCTGTACATTCATCTCTTCTTTTCTCTGGTTCCTTCTCTGCAGTCTCCTTTCGGCCTGCTTCAGGAGTGAACTCGTGGACTCAAGGAGAGACTCTCCCAAACAGACCGATACCATCCTAAAACATTCCAGCCCCCCAAAACCATCAGTATATCCATAAATGGAACTGGCGGGCTGGCTTTGCCCAGCTCATGGGACTAGGAGCACTGGGGCAAATATGCAGCCTGATAGCAACAGAGTACATAGAGTAATCTCCTGAAGGGACTCAAACTTTGCCAAAACAACAGACGCTTCTACAGATCTCTTAGCTGTAGCCGGTGGCGCTGGGAGGTCTGGAACCACGATGTTGTCTGTCTTGGTGTAACTTTTTCTTCTTGTTTTTGTAACTTCTTTCCTGTTAACTTCTGTATTTGTGAAACACAGTAGGGTTTCTCTGAGCGGGTCTCAATTTTAAAATGCCTTGTCCTGTATAAGTTTAAGAAAAAGTATTCATGGGCTGAGTGGGGATAGGAGGAGGGTGGGATGTTTTGAAGTCTGTGCTAATCTGTTAGGCCTGTTCTAATGCCGTTTATGCAGTAATAGTGCAATTAGCTGAAGTATCTGTACTGCTGGACAGAGGTAGGTAGTAACTATATTGGCACTAATTAAGTCATTTTTCCCCTGTAGAAATGCTCTCTAGTTTGGTGTTATGAATTGTTTCCCTCTATTTCATAAAAAGTCTGATCTAAAATAGATAAAAATTACAGGGAAGACTGGACAACGCTGTCAGACTTTGCACTGAAAACTTCTGGGCTTAGTCCAGATGTACTGAACTTAAAAAGCTCCTTCCTTGCTCTCATGAGTTCAGTCCAAGTGGACAGGTGAAGGTGGAGTCTTGCTGTGTAATGACATCCACGTGTACCCAGTGTCCCCGTTCCTTTATTATTGAGGGTGTAAAGGGCAATCTGCTCATTGTGCGACCTGTGGAAAGCTCGCCCAAAGGTCAGAGCTCACCACTTTCCATGCAGACTCTCAGCAGTTATTAGATGTTCCTTCATTAAGCTTACTACACTGTATCCTTCGCTACTGTCCATAGCTCAAAGAAGAGTGCCAGTATCTGTTAGAGATAGCTCAGCCTGATGGCCTTAAGCCATGCTTACTTTGTCCATTAATCCTGCAATCAGTAGCCATTGCTTTTGCTCAGTGTGTCCATAAAGCGGTCTAAATTAGCAATTCCTGCACAGAAGACCC